TATATATATGTATATGTATATATATTTGCTCAAATCTATGACGTGTATACTGATGTGTTTTTCAAATGAACTGCTGCTCAGGTAATAAATAATTAAATTAAAAAAAAATATATATATATACTGTATATAGTATATGTGACCAATGTTTGATTGGGAATATATTTGGTACATTACTTTATCATAGTGTATTTTAACTTAATTAGTTAGGACTACAGATCCTTCTTCAAGGTATTATTCTTTAATTTGAATTTGTATTGAATTAAAAAGTTTTAAAAGAAAATCTTCATAACAAAGTCTGTCTTCCAAAGCTATGAAAGAAAATGCAATGCCTGTGTTTTGCTAATCATCTGGTGAAAAGGCAGACAAGAAAAGTTCCAAGCATCTCAGGCATCATGTTTTCATTTGCTGAAGATTTTCAAATTGTTTTTCCATGTCAGTCTAAAACATGTTCATGCCATTGCGTTTCACTCTATGTTCAAGCAGTCCATTCCTTTGCAGTGTGTGTTTATTTTGAAATTAAAATAATGTAAAACTAATTAGCGCATCTTTTAATTGCTAATTTGCTCTTTTTGTCCTTGAAAATTGTCTCCATTTAGTAGAATACATTTTCGCAACAAAAAAAAGTTGACTCATTCAGGAATTTTGGCCAATGTTCTCATCTTTATTTCACCAACAAGTGTTTTTCAAACGAACACATCCAATCATTCTTCTCATAAATAACATTTTTTTGAATTCCTTTCAAAGGCCAGTTTGTTGTTTGACCCAAATGAGGTGTTCTCCAGAGAGTTCATTGCCAACAGTGACTGAGGCAGGATCTCCACAATTGAGCAGCAGCCCCAAAACCCCAACCAATTTTCCTTCTGAGTTGATCATTGGTCCACCATTATCAATCTGCAACCATTAAAAAAAACACCATGTGCATACCACTTAGCAACCATCAAATATTATGAATTTCTTACAAAGCATGCTCCAGATCCAGAAACTGAGTTCAAGCAGATCATCTGGTTGGTGACTGTTGAACAAAAAGAAGAAAAATTCCTGAGAAACTGAGCTGCAGAATGTGGATTATGACTTGATTACCTCCTACCAACAGTGCTGAGTCAAAAGGTGTCCCAGTTCCAAGGTTGGCAACGCTGGCAATTTTGCTGGAGCAGTCAGTGTCAGATAGAACCACTGATGAGTAAGTTTTCAGTCTGGTCTGAATCAGTGGCTTTGCCAAAGATGTTGCAAGAGCTATGGGATCTTTGAAGAGAAAAACACAATTTAATTGTATTTTAAACTTATACATGTTATGAGCTGTAACAACCACACATGTTTCAAACCTGCATTTCTGATTAAAAAATAGATAGGCTTTTAAAAATCTTGAAATTCTGCTCTGATTCATGGATTTATCTGATAATTGATTTTTGCACTGGATTAAAATTCTAAAAATTGCATATAACTCAACACTTATTTCATTAAAATTTTTATTCAAATGTGTGCTTTTCCCAAACCTTGAATAATAATGAGCTAAACCATTATGTTATACATTGGAATAAAATGAGTTTTGAATTTGATGCATAGATGTTTATACTTATAAGCTTATGTATAAATTATAAAAAAAAACCTGTCACCATCATCCACCTTATCAAAATGTTGAAAATCGCAAATTTAAAAACTGAGACTGAGACACATGCAGTACCTTGACTGGTGATATTCACATTCTGATCCAGACCATAGCCATCAACCTTGAGGGTCTGCCCTTGATAAGTGGTAGTTAGTGCTGTGAGACAACAGCTATTTTCCTGCCTGATGCTGATGGCGAAGTTGAACCTAGGCTTTAACTACTACGATGACTCGAGGTGATACCGGTTCAGTACGTTTTACCCGTTTAACAGTTTCAGTATAGGACCCATGTCACAAAACCAGAACTACCGTTAAACTAAACGAGCCCAGTCCTTTTTGATGGTCTTCAGTGCCCCTACAACTGCCACCCTGCAATGAGACAATTTTCAAGGAATAAAATTAATGATGGAAAACATTGTGAAAATCTTTACTAAAGTATTGCATCTTGATTAATTTGTTTTTAAATTTATTTTTTTAATAAATTTGTTTTTAAATTTTTTTTTAATAAATTTGTTTTTAAATTTATTTTTCAAATAAATTTGTTTTTAAATTTATTTTTTAATAAATTTGTTTTTAAATTTATTTTTCAAAGAAATTTTTTAAATTTATTAAATTATTTTTCTTTCAGGAATTATGAATGCTGGATGAGGATCTAAATACCTTGTCAAGTCCTCAAAGACTTTGAAGCATGAGGCACCAGTGATGAGTTTGGTGGATGTCAAGATGGTGGCTGTGCACAATGGTATCCTGATGATCTTGTTGATGATGGGAAAATCTATTGGCTGGATGGCAATGAAAGCTGCATAAGGTGAGTCACTCCTGGATGACACTGTTGTACCTCCCATTATTCTCCCTGTGCCAGTGTTGCTGGTCAGTAGAGCCATGATCAAATTGGCAACTCCTTCAACTGTTGGGTAATATTTCATGTGAAAGTATTAAAAGTCAATAAAGTCTTCAGTTTATGAGGATATACTCACTTATTTGACCAAAGATGGTGTTCTGAGCATGGACTTCATGATGTTGAAGGCAAACACAGACAGCAAGAAAAACTAAACAGTTACTGAATTTTCTCACTGCCACCATGTTTTCCCAACTGAAGTCAGCTAAGCACTGTCAGAAATTATGGCGGGATGTGAGCAAGTGAGACATTCAGTTCACTCCTCACAGTTTTATAGGACAGAGAGTTTGTTTTTTGCTCCCTTTTTTCTACAATACTGTGAGTTTGGGTGGGGGGGGGGAATCCCCCTCAGCCTTGGAGTCAAATTATTCTTTTCCACTGCACAAGAACAAAACATGCTTTTTTCTTGAACAAAAAACCATAGGTTTTGTAGAAGAAAAAACTTTTTTCTTCTGGGTCTGAGAAATTTCAACCTAAAAAAAAAAGGAACCACTTTAGAATGTACGTCCTCAACGAAAACTACACTCCCCTCCAAAAGTCATGTCATATGTGTCGTGTAAATAAGTAGAAGAAGTTCAATTGTTCCGTAACAATTCTTAGTTTTTGTTTGTGGGTCACATGAAGGCTAGTGATGGTCATCAACACGCAGATAAAGGCATAAAGTTAGAAGGCTTATAGCTGTGCTCTTAATTGAACAGGAACAATTGTTTTAGTTAATTTATTTCTTCTTCTCGTGAGGCGCACAACTTTTTTTTTTTATTCAGGTGAGTTCATTGCCCTGAAGTACATGAGGGGAATGAGGAAATTTCCTTTCAACTGAATTTCTTGAAAAAAAAATGCTTCAGAAACATTTTCAATCGGCATTCGACTTGTTTGATGCGTCAAATTTTGAATTTTTTTCAACACAATAATTTTATAAAATAATGAAGATGGACAAATCTTCTGAAATGATTTCTGTATCCCCATGAATACATATATTAATCAATGATGCATATTTTTCTATGTCAGATTCGCAGTTGCTTTGACCCAGCTCAAGTGTTCTCCAGTCAATTCATTTCCAAGACTAATCTTGTCAGATTCTGTGCAAGACACCAAAATGGTCAGAACTCCAACGATCTGGTTCTTTGTGTTCAAGATGGGTCCTCCATAATCAAACTAAAATGAATAAAAATCAATAAATCAGCACATTTAAACAATTTATTTGGAATTTTTAGATGGGAATGAAACTCACTGGACAATTTCCTGTCCCTGGGTTTGGAGTGAGGCAGATCAGGGTCTGAAAAACTGTACATAATTTTAAATTGAATAACTTCTGTTCAATTGGTGCACCTGAATTTGAATTACTAGTGGCTGCTGATGCTCCAAAGTCTGTTCCAGTAATGTTTGAAATCTTGGCACCACATTCTGCATCAGTAAGGTCCACTTTCTGGTCAATTGTCCTCAATCTTTGCTGTGACAGTGGTTCGAACAAGGCCAATGCCCCATTGAAGTCTGTGGAAAAATAATTTACAATTATGTTGGATAAAAAAATTTATTGTATTAAAATCCTGATTGAAATTACTAATTTCCGCCAGGCTTCATTATTTTTCATATTATTTCAATTAAGATACTGTACTTGTAACATTTAAAGTTTAAAAATTCGTTTGAGAATATTTATTTTCAAAAACTTTGACATGGACATTATTTTGTTAAATCCAAGATTAATTCAATGTAATGGATTTTTTTTTTCCTTGGTGAAATCTTACATGCAGGAGTTGCTTTTGATGTGAGGGGAGGTTTTCAGTACAGTATACACAGCACATTTATTCATCTTCTTCAAGTTAACAAGGCATTGTTAAGAACGTTTTTGTTTGTGGGTCACATGAAGGCTAGTGATGGTCATCAACACGCAGATAAAGGCATAAAGTTAGAAGGCTTATAGCTGTGCTCTTAATTGAACAGGAACAATTGTTTTAGTTATTTTATTTCTTTTTCTTGTGCGGCGCACAACTTTTTTTTTTTATTCAGGTGAGTTCATTGCCCTGAAGTACATGAGGGGAATGGGGAAATTTCCTTTCAACTGAATTTCTTGAAAAAAAATATATGCTTCAGAAACGTTTTCAACTGTCGTTTGACTTGTTTGATGAGTCAAATTTTGATTTTTTTCAACACAGTAATTTTATAAAATAATGAAGATGGACAAATCTTCTGAAATGATTTCTGTATCCCCATGAATACATATATTTATCAATGATGCATATTTTTCTATGTCAGGTTCGCAGTTGCTTTGACCCAGCTCAAGTGTTCTCCAGTCAATTCATTTCCAAGACTAATCTTGTCAGATTCTGTGCAAGACACCAAAATAGTCAGAACTCCAACAATCTGGTTCTTTGTGTTCAAGATGGGTCCTCCATAATCAAACTAAAATGAATAAAAATCAATAAATCAGCACATTTAAACAATTTATTTGGAATTTTTAGATGGGAATGAAACTCACTGGACAATTTCCTGTCCCTGGGTTTGGAGTGAGGCAGATCAGGGTCTGAAAAACTGTACATAATTTCAAATAAAATAATTTCTGTTCAATTGGTCCACCTGAATTTGACTTACTAGTTGCTGCTGATGCTCCAAAGTCTGTTCCAGTGATGTTTGAAATCTTGGCACCACATTCTGCATCAGTAAGGTCCACTTTCTGGTCAATTGTCCTCAATCTTTGCTGTGACAGTGGTTCAAACAAGGCTAATGCCCCATTGAAGTCTGTGGAAAAATAAATGTAAATTATGCTAGATAAAAAAATTATTGTATTAAAATCCTGATTGAAATTACTAATTTCCGCCAGGCTTCATTATTGTTCATATTATTTCAATTAAGATACTGTACTTGTAACATTTAAAGTTTAAAAATTCGTTTGAGAATATTTATTTTCAAAAACTTTGACATGGACATTATTTTGTTAAATCCAAGATTAATTCAATGTATTTTAGTTTTCTGGAATACGCTGTACGTTACTTGAATCGAAGTTTGGATTAAATGAACGTGAAGAAGAAATCTTTTTTTAGAAAAGACAATAATTAAAATGATTCAAATGATTTGACATTGAAAGCCCAAAAATTCCTATATACATATAATAGGTCATCTTAAATGAAAAATGTTTGGCCTTTGAAAATAAAAATTAATTATTAATGAATTAAATAGTCTGCATAATTCGAAAATTAACTCTGTCATGAAATTATATGGACATATTTTTCCGTTGACAATGCAAATGCAAAAGCCAGTAAGAATTAATTTTCCATGAATTCAGTGTGCACAATTTTAAAATTATATCAAAGCTGGAAATTGATCGCCTGGGAAGCAGAGCCAAAGTTGACAATAAGCAAGAAATAATTAAAATTAAATCAGCTTCTTTTGATTGAGAAAATTAAATTCCTGCATGCATACATACAACGCCCTAATCATTGATCAACAGCTACAAATTATTCATTTCCCTTCATAGAATAATTTTTTCCTTTAAATACATTAATTTTACAAGAAAAAAAAATCACTGTCTCTGGTATACAAAAGTCAGTTTTTGTATTGAATTTGCAAATACAGTGGCCCCCGCCTAACAGACCTCCCGTGTAAGGGATTTTCGCCAAACAGACCAGCTCTGCAAGCAGTTTTTCCATAGCATTAAAAATTGAAATTTTTAATTTTTTATGTAATTGAATTCGTGTAAAGGACTTTTCGTCTAACAGACTCGTCCCTTGCACAATCAAGTCCGTTAGACGGGAGTTGACTGTAATGTCAAATCAAACTTGCCTAGTCCTGCAAAGGTAATGTTCTGTTGCAAGCCGTAACCAACACTTTTCAGTACTTGATTCCTGAAATTGGCAGTGGCGGAATTTGTGCAGCACCCCTCAGTCCCTCCAGCACAGCAAAATGTTGGCAAGTGTGTAGCATTCAAGTTATTGTCAAAGTTGGGCATTCTTCTGTCATTGATGGCAAGAATAGCCAGGTCATCTTTCACAGGGTTTGCCTTGAAATCATAACCTGGGTAAAATGTCTTGTTGACAATTTCCAGAATGTCTCTGCCTGGGGTCTTCCAAAATGGCTTCAGAGTTGATGCTATCACATTTCTGATGAATAATCAATTCACCAATAATTTAAAAAAATTAGCAAGATCCTCAAAATTCTCAAAAAATCACATGTCAGCATTTTCAATCAAGCTGAAGCAGGAAGCAGCTGTTAGTACATAGTATCTTGACAAGAGGGAGCCACTGCATATTGTGATGCCAAACCACTTCCTCAACACCTTCACAGGCCTATAAACTATGGCAACCATGTACAGTAATTAGCCTGGGATTTCTTCATCACATCAGTTCCTCCAAGAATTCTTGCCCCAGGGTTCAAAAAATTGTAGAGACTTCTGATCCATGAAGAAATTATTTCCCCTGGTGATCAGAAAAATTAATTTTTTTTGGTGCAGAGAAAAATGGGGAATTTATTAAAAATAAATCATTTTTTCACCTATTATTGTTGTAAAAGCAAGTCCCTGGATTTGTTGAGCTTCACAAAAATGAAAACAGAAAATGCCGAGTGTTGAAAAGACAAGCAAGAAAACTTTCATGCTGACAGCGAATGTCGACTGACATGAGTCTTGAACCGCTGTCGATGCGTTCATGTTTTTTTTTTCTTGACAACTGAAACATTTTATAAAGTATTCCGTGAAGAAAAGAAAAGAAAACCAGGTTTTTCTGTCTTCTTGAGAGAGTGTGAAACACTTTCCTTCGATTTCAGATTTAATTTTTTTTTTGGAATGATTCGCGTTGTTTTTTTCAAAATCAATAATGGATTTTTAGTGTTTCGAGCAGCGTTCAATTGATACGCAAATTTCTATTGGAAGTTTTGGTGAAATTCTCCTTCAATTTATAACTGCGTTTTCTTGTTCGGAGAAAGGCTAACCTTTTCCTCATTCAAATTTCGAAAATAAGAAAATCTGTAGAGTTTTTTGTGTTATCGAGTCAAGAATTTTGATAAAGTTATTATTAAGAGATGTATTAACATATATCATGCATCTTGAAAAAATCTCTAAGCATAATTTTATTTTTATAAACGCCCGTATTTTAGATATTTTTGATTTCTTGAATCTTCGGAATTTCAACGAACTCCTCATTATATAGACATCAATGAGAAAATTCACTAATGGACAGTTTTATCAAAATTTTCTTGAATGGTGAGGACATTTTTCCCGAAAATTGAGCACCTCTATTTCTTTCAAAGACATAAAGCGACAATCATAAACGAAAACAAACCAGGAAAATAATATTTTCTGAGTGAGCAATCCCATCATCAACTAATGCAAACATATATACAATATTTCATCATGATTAAAGTTCAACGGAAAAGTGTTACCGCCGGTTGAAATCTTCCTGGAACGTAATTTTTTTGTTTACATCAGTCAAGATTTTTCTCATTTTTTGAAACGCATTTTCATTTCAGAGAATAATAATAATGAAGGTGGACAACAAATTACTGCATTACCGGTTACTGATATTTTTCACACCACACGACAACAATAAATATTCATCAATAAGATTTTTTGGTCTACGTCAGTTTGGCAGTTGATTTGACCCAGCTTAGGTGATTCCCTGTCAATTCGTTTGCAACGTTGACCCTGTCAGATTCCGTGCAAGACACCAAAACAGTCAGAACTCCAACAATCTGGTTCTTTGAGTTCAAGATGGGTCCTCCAAAATCAGCCTGAAATCAATGACAATAAATAAATTAACAATTTTTACCCAATTGTAAAATGTATTTAGAATGTTTAGATGAGAATAAAACTCACTGGACAATTTCCTGTCCCAGGGTTTGGAGTGAGACAGATCATGGTCCCAAAAACTGTGCATAATTTTAAATTAAATAATTTCTGTTCAATTGGTCCACCTGGATTTGACTTACTAGTGGCTGCTGATGCTCCAAAGTCGGTTCCAGTTAAGTTTGAAATCTTGACACCACATTCTGCATCAGTAAGGTTCACTTTCTGGCTCAAAGTCCTCAGCCTTTGATTTATAACTGGTTTGACCAAAGCCAATCCTCCGTAGAAGTCTGCCAGAAAAAGTTTTTAAAAAGCCATTTAAAAATAAAATTGGTATAGTAATTTTGTAGGCCATTAGCATTATTTCTTTGAGTCTAAACTTTAAACTGAAGCAAGCTCATGCAGTTTGTAGATATTGAATCAATAAAAGAAGACTTGCAACATTCAAAATTGAATTATGCACTCAAAAAGCTTGAGTTAAACAAAAAATATGACATTAACAGTGATTTGAAAAATACTACATAATTCAAATAAAATCTAGTTTTCTGGAAATTGTGTTGCAGTACTTCAAACAATACAATGCAGCAATTTATATGATATGGTTAAAGAAAAATTTAAGTTAAAAACTGAAATTTAAGTTAAAAACTGAAATTTAAGTTAAAAACTGAAATTTAAGTTAAAAACTGAAATTTAAGTTAAAAACTGAAATTTAAGTTAAAAACTGAAATTTAAGTTGAAAACTGAAATTTAAGTTAAAAACTGAAATTTAAGTTAAAAACTGAATTTTAAGTTAAAAACTGAAATTTAAGTTAAAAACTCAAATTTAAGTTAAATTTGAATCAGTTGCAAATAAAAACATAAGATATATTCATTAAGTAACTCTATCAATATGCAGATCCTTAAAAAGTGTTTTTCCTTATTTTAGCAAAAATTTGCTTTCTTGTGCCTTGAAACATTTATGATTCGAATATAATAATATTATTTATTCTAATAATATTTGAAACTCTATGAATTGAAAAAATCATTACCATGCTTTACTCTTCTATACAGTACTTCTGTATGAACTTACCTAGTTCTGTGTATGAAACGTTCTGTTGTAAACCATATCCAACACTTTTCAGTTCTTGATCCCTGAAATCAGCAGTTGCTGAATTTGTGCAACAACCTTCAGTCCCTCCATAACAACATGTTGTGGGCAATGATATGGCATTCAGGTCATCATTGAAGGTAGGCAGTAAATCTTCAATGCCTATAACAGCCAAGTCATCTTTCACAGCGCTTGCATCAATGTCATAACCTGGGTAAAATGTCTTGTTGGTAATTTCCAGAATTTCTCTGCCTGGAGTCTTCCAAAATGGCTTCAAAGTATAAGCCATCACATTTCTGATCAAGAATAATAATGTAACATTGTTTAAAATTTAGGAAAAGATCATCTGAAAAATTTTCAGATAACTCACATGTCAGCATTTTTTATTTGGCTGAAGCAGGATGCAGCTGTTAGTACATAGTATCTTGATAAGAGGGAGCCACTGCATACTGGGATTCCAATCCACTTTCTCAGAATGCTCACAGGCCTATAAACTATGGCAACCATGTAATTTGCCTGGTACTGCTTTTCCACATCAGTTCCTCCAAGAATTCTTGCCCCTGGGTTAAAAAACTTGTATATTCTCCTGATCCATGAAGATAATATGTCACCTGGTGATCATAAAATTAATTTTTTAAGTGCAAAGAAAAAAGGGAATTTTTTAATAAAATTATTTGTCACCTATTATTTTTGTAAAATCAAGTCCCTGGATTCCTTGAGCTTCACAAGAATGCAAGCAGAAAATGCCAAGTATTAAAATGACAAATAAGAAAACTTTCATGGCAACAGCGAATTTTGAAAAACTCTGTCACACACAAGTTCAGTCAATGTGGTTTTCCTTGAAAGAAGAATAATACACAAAATGATTCATGTTGACTATAAGTTGGCAAATACAGACAATGACAGAAACCAAACAATTTTACTGAAATTTTGTCAGTGACACCATGTTTTCCCAACTGAAGTCAGCTAAGCACTATCTGAACTGAAGTTTTTATGTGTGAGACATTGGATTCCCCCATGCACAGTTTAATAGGTCAAAAGTTGGCTTCGCTTTTTTTCAATCAATACTATGTGCTGCAATTCTCTTCTGTATTGGGGTCACATTATTTTTTTCCACTCAACACAAAAAAGTTTTCTAAGAAAAAAAAGCTATAGAATTTCAGAAGGGAAAAAATTTGCTGTTTTCCTCTGGGCCTGAGCATTTTCACGGATTTTTCTTGGTGAAATATTCCATAGAAGAGATGATTTTGATGTGAGGTGAGTTTTTCAGCACACAGCAAATTTATTTTTGTGTTTCTCTGGAATTTAACCAGGCATTGGGTAGAAATTTTTTGTTTGTTTCATCATGAAGAGATGGTCATTAACATGCAGATGTAATTCATAGATTATAAGAAGTATTCTTGATCAAGAACCTCATAATTTCAGAATATGGGAACTCACTTCTTCCAAGAATTCCTCCAGGAATTTTTGTTCCAGGGCTCGAAAAATGGTAGAGACTCCTTACCTGTGAAGAAATTATTTCACCTGGTGATCAAAAAATTTTTTGGGTGAGTGCAAAGGAAAAAAGTGTCAAAACTGCAATATTTTTTCCCTTAAAATTTTTTATAGAAAAACCCCCACAGTCAAAGTATGGGCAATTTGGCAAGGGATGACTTGTCGTTGCTAATTTGATGGTTTTCTGAGGGTGATTCACTCATCATAGTACAGTGGCCCCTGCCTAACAGACCTGCTCCCATGTAAGGGATTTTCGCCAAACAGACCAGCTCTGCAAGCAGTTTTCCCTCCCGATCTAAGACTTGTCCCTTGCACAAATCAAGTCCGTTAGACGGGGGTTGACTGTATTTCAAAATTCCTGTAAATATATATATGTATTTTATTTTTGGTAGATCACTGGTATTTTAATTTCCACGCAAGGTAATTTTGGCCTACTGGTACACATTTGTACAACAGTCTAAGAGGCCTGAATACCCTCCGCGAGGGGTGTTCCCCAGGTGTGCTGTTGCTCCCGCAAGGTTCAGATGGGTTCTGAGGGTGGGGGATCCTGGTAGCTACATATGGGTTAGTATTTGCAGTGAAGAGAATTAGTTAGGGTGTAGTAACAAATGTAGACTCTAACTGAGCTGCTGACTCATGTCTCCTCCAAATTATACGTAATATGGGAGCATAAATACATTTGAGCATAAAATATTTATTTGTTCAAAAAGTAATTATGCTGCCAGTTGCAAGTATTTCCAACATTATTTTCAATCGCATTTTTCTTAACTTTATATGAGCTACTTCTGGGCAAAATGAAATTAGGGTGGGCCTGAATAACTGCTGCAATCAATTTTGTATTTTTCACACCACAATAACAATAGCTGTTTGTCAATCCAATTTTTTATGTCAACTTTGCTGTCGATTTGACCCAGCTTAGGTGATCTCCTGACAATTCGTTTCCAAGACTGATCTTGTCAGATTCCGTGCAAGACACCAAAAGCGTCAGAACTCCAACAATCTCATTTTTTGTGTTCAAGATGGGTCCTCCATAATCAAACTGAAATTAATGAAAAAAATTAACACTTTTAACCAATTGTAAAATGTATTTGGATTTTTTAGATGAGAATAAAACTCACTGGACAATTTCCAGTCCCTGGGTTTGGAGTGAGGCAGATCATGTTCTGAAAAACTGTACATAATTTCAAATAAAATAATTTCTGTTCAATTGGTTCCCCATGAATTGCTGAATGATCACCGACGACTACGAGGTTTCAGACAAGGTCATTAAAGACATTAGAACCGTGGTGTAACACATAGTCATTCCAGGTGAAAGACCAGGTTACAGGAGTTAGAAACGCAATGTTAACCAATAAGCAAAGATATTGCCGCATTAAAGTCTGTATAAAAATATGAAACAAAAATTGTAACCAAGTGGAATTCATGGGATTAAAATTGTACTATGATAAACCATTTTTGTGGAGTCAAAATACTGAATGCCAACTGGTTCAAGTTTCTCTATTTTTAAACAGTTCATAAAAAGCTTCTTTTAAAATGCTAACTTTTAAATTAATCATAAGCAGATCAAGTAAAAATAATAATTATGACCTGCAGTAATTTTTAAAAATCACTATGAATCCAACCAATCCTACTTTTCCAAAATCTCCATCACAATTGTTCAATCAATGCTGTAAATATATGTGTATTATACAGTATGTGGAAGAAATGAAGAGTTGAAAAACTGAAAATTAAGATGAATTCAAATTATTCCTGATTTTAAATGGTGAAAATTCAGAAAGTAACTTCAACAAGGTGCAGCACCAAAAAAGTTCTTTCCCTCAGTGAAAAATTGTTAGAAGAGTTGAAAAACTGAAAATTAAGATGAATTCAAATTATTCCTGATTTTAAATGGTGAAAATTCAGAAAGTAACTTCAACAAGGTGCAGCACCAAAAAAGTTCTTTCCCTCAGTGAAAAATTGTTACCATTGAGTTTAAAAATGTATTTTCTTGAATAAATAATTCTAAGGTAATTGAAGCTAAGATCACTTTAAAATACATTTCATGTTTTCTACACATGAACTTACCCAGTCCAGACAAAGTTACATTTTGTTGCAAGCCATAACCAACACTTTTCAGGACTTGATTCCTGAAATCAGCAGTTGCAGAATTTGTGCAACACCCCTCAGTGCCTCCAGCACAGCAGGTTGTGGGCAATGCTATGGCATTCAGGTTTTGGTTGAAGTAAGGCAGTCTATCTTCTATGCCTACAACAGCCAAGTCATCTTTCACAGGGTTTGCCTTGAAGTCATAGCCTGGGTAAAATGTCTTGTTGAGAACATCCACATTGTCTCTGCCTGGGGTCTTCCAAAATGGCTTCAAAGTATGAGCCATCACATTTCTGTTGAAGAATCAATTCACCATTAATTAAAAAATAAAATTAGCAAGATCCTCAAAATTCTCATAAAACTCACATGTCAGCATTTTCAATGAAGCTGAAGCAGGAGGCGGCTGTTAGTACATAGTATCTTGACAAGAGGGAGCCACTGCATATTGGGATCCCAAACCACTTTCTCAACACCTTCACAGGCCTATAAACTATGGCAACCATGTAATTGGCCTGGGATTTCTTCATCACATCAGTTCCTCCAAGAATTCTTGCCCCAGGGTTCAAAAAATTGTAGAGACTTCTGATCCATGAAGAAATTATTTCACCTGGGGATCAAAAAATTAATTTTTGTTGGGTGCAGAGAAAAAGGGGGGTTTTATTTAAAATAAATAATTTTTTCACCTAATATGGTGGTGAAATCAAGTCCTTGGATTTGTTGAGCTTCACAAGAATCCAAACAGAAAATACCAAGTGCAAAAATGACAAACACGAAGATTTTCATGGTGACAGCGAATGTCGAGAGTGTCGACTGACTGACTGACTTGAGTATCACACCACTGCCTGTCGGTGTTGTTTTTCTCGACAGCGAAAA